TCTCTGCATGCTTGCCTGCCTGTCTGCTGCATGCTTGCCTGCCTGTCTGCTGCCTGCCTGCCTGCCTGTCTGCTGCATGCTTGCCTGCCTGTTTTTTTGTTTTTTTTTTTTCTTTTTCTTTTTTCTTACCCCTTGGCTGAGGTCCTGGCACAGGCCCATGTAAACCTGAGAACACCCCCAGGTCCACACTCATGTCAACATGGGTACCTACCTGGGCGCAAGCTCAGGTCAACGCACAACCCGGGGAAAGAGCCAGGTCAACATTTACTGTATAAAACGTTGACCAAGCCGAGTATGGAGCATGTCAAACTCCAACTCCTCTACGTTGCTGCTAAGTGGAACTCCTCTACGTTGCTACTCCACAACCTACCTTTCTCTCTCCATCGCTCTATCCATCTCTGTCTCCATCCTACACTCTCTCTCTCTCTCTCCACAACACTATGGTGCGTGACAACACAGCAAGGTCGAGGAGCAACAGGAGCCGTGTCGAGGGAGGGTCCATAAACCCCTTCAGCATACGATGGTCCGACGGCAGCGTATTCTCTAGAAGGGACGTTGTGCATGGAGCCTAGTGCACAGGTGGCAGGCACCTATGGCGACTCAGATACGCATGGGAGCTTCAAGCAGATATGGAGGCAGAGGAGAGACAGTGGCTTGAAGAGGAGAAGGATAGGGAACGGGACAGGGAGGTGGAGAGGTACCTCGAGAAGGAGAGAGAGAACCCAAGGTCGCTGGAAGAGGAGGCTCAGAGGGAAAGAGAAAAAAAACAGGGCCTTCGTGCCTCCGAAGTCGAGCAAGAGTCCTGGCTAGCGCTCGATATGGCGAGAAGGATTGAGAAGAAACGGAGGGCAGCGAAGGAAAATGAAGGAGGCAGCTCGCAGAGCAAGAAGACTGCAGATGGCGGAGATGCATAGCGACGGTGAATGGAGGAAAGTGAGCGATGGCGGAGAGAGAGAGAGAGAGAGAGAGCGAAGGGGGAACCATCGTCGTGATCACCATCGATCGGGCGCCAAAGAGAGAGAGAGAGAGAGAGAGAGAGAGAGAGAGAGAGAGAGAGAGAGAGAGAGAGAGCTCGAAGATCGCCATTATCTTTGTCATCGCCATCGAGCTGCTGAAGAGAGAGAGAGCTGCGATCATCGTCGTCATGGCCATTGAGCGAGCGCCAAGTAACACGCCACGTCAGCGCTGAGCCATCGAAATCAAGCAAGTCCACGTCAGCGCGCCCAGCGCGCATGCGCCCGTACTTGATTACATCTGCACCACGTAGTCCTATCGCAGAGAGAGAGAGAGAGAGAGAGAGAGAGAGAGAGAGAGAGAGAGACCCCTCGCCATGTCGCCCTATCGTGGAAGGATAGAAAGAGAGAGACGTAGCCTCCTCGCCACGTGACCCTGTTGC